GAGCAGCTGTCTCAAAAAAAAAAAAAAAAAAAAAAATTACAACATTACATTAAAAAATACTTACTTATGCAACATAAACCAGTGAAGGAGGACTTGAGAAAAAAGGAGACATATACAAAACAAAAAGTAAAATGGCAGGTATAAGTCAATTCAACTATACCAATAAAAATGTTAAATGTGAATGAATTACACAATCCAATCAAAAGGCAGAAACTGTCAGACTGAACAGAAAAAAAACCAACATCCAACTATATGCTTTCTATGGAGATACTCCTTAGATTCAAAAACACGAATAAGCTGAAAGTAAAATGATGAGAAAAATACATCATGCAAACTGCAACCATAAAAAGCTGGAATGGTTATACTAATATCAGACAAAATAGACTTCAAAACAAAAATGTTACTACAAATGAAGAGAGACATTCTATGATAAAGGGTCAGTCTATCAGGAAGATAAAACAATTATGAACATATATGTACCTAAAAATAAAGCCCCAAATATACAAAGCAAACTAACAGAATTGAAGGGAGAAATTGATAATACAACAATAATAGTTGGAGACATCACCTCACACTTTTAATAATGGCTAAAACATAGGCTGGGTGTGGTGGCTTACGCCTGTAATCCCAACACTTTGGGAGGCCGAGGCAGACAGATCACCTGAGGTCAGGAGTTCGAGACCAGCCTGACCAACATGGAGAAATTCTGTCTCTAATAAAAATACAAAAATCAGCCAGGCATGGTGGCACATGCCTGTAATGCTAGCTACTTGAGAGGCTGAGGCAAGAGAATCACTTGAACCCAGGAGGCAGAGGTTGTGGTGAGCTGAGATTGCACCATTGCACTCCAGCCTGGGCAACAAGAGTGAAATTCCATCTCAAAAAATAAAAAATAAAAATAATAATGGCTAAAATAGCTAGACAGAAGACCAATAAGGAAATAGAAGACTAGAACCAACACTATTAAACAACTAGATCTAACAGACATCTACAGACTACACCATCTGACAACATCAGAATACACATACTGCTCAGGTGCACATGCAATGTTCTCCAGTATAGGCTATATCCTAGATCATAAAACAAGCCTCAATAAATCTAAAAGGATTGAAATCCTTTTAGTAAAGTAAAGTACTTTTTCTACTATATAGAAATATTTCTTTGAATGTATTTCTGTATGTTCTCTATATAGAAATGTAATATATTTGACAATAACAGCACAAAGGAGGTGAGTAGGAGCAACATTGCTCTCACCACTACTATTTAACATTGTACTGGAGGTTCTAGACAGGGTAATTAGGCAAGAGAAAATGAATAAAAGTTATCCAGATAGGACTGGAAGAAGTAAAATGACCTCTATTTGCAGATGACATAATTCTGTGAATAGAAAGTCCTAAGGAATACTCTAAAAACTGTTAGGGTTAATAGCAAGTTTGCAGAATACAAGAGCAATATACAAAAATCATTTGTATTTCTACACACTACTAATGAACATCCTGGAAATGAAATTAAGAAACCAATTTCACTTACAGTAGCATCAAAAATAATAAAATACCTAAGGATAATTTACCAAAGGAGGTGAAAGACTTGTACCTGAAAACTACAAAACATTGATGAAAGAAATTCAAGAAGACCTAAACCAACATAAAAATATCCCATCTTCATGGATTGGAAGACTTAACATTGTTAAGATGTCAACACTCTAGAAATCAATCTACAGATTCCATGCAAATCCTATCACAGTCCCAGCTGGCTTTTTCACAGAAATGGAAAAGCTGATCCTAAAATTCATATGGAAAAGCAAAAGACTAACAATAGACAAAACAATCTTGAAAAAAAAACAAAGTTGAAGTACTCACACTTTTCAATTTCAAAGCTTACTACAAAGTTACAGACATCAAGACAGTTTGGTACTAGCATGAGAACAGAAATACAGGTCAATGTTTGAGTCATACGTTTTATGAAAAAGAAAAAGACATACAGATCAATAAAATATAAGAATCCAGGAGGAAAACACCTTACATTTGGAGTGAATTGATTTTTACAAGGTCTTAAGACAATTCAGTGGACGATAATCTTTTTTTTTTTTTTTTTTTTTTTGAGACGGAGTCTCGCTCTGTCGACCGGGCTGGAGTGCAGTGGCCGGATCTCAACTCACTGCAAGCTCCGCCTCCCGAGTTTACGCCATTCTCCTGCCTCAGCCTCCCGAGTGGCTGGGACTACAGATGCCCGCCACCTCGCCAGGCTAGTTTTTTTTTTTTTTGTATTTTTTGGTAGAGACGGGGTTTCACCGTGTTAGCCAGGATGGTCTCGATCTCCTGACCTCGTGATCCGCCCGTCTCGGCCTCCCAAAGTGCTGGGATTACAGGCTTGAGCCACCGCGCCCGGCCTATAATCTTTTTAAACAAATGCTGCTAGGACAACTGGATATCTATATACAAAAGAATAAATTTGGACCTTTTCCTCACACCATGGACACAAATTATAATGCCCTAACATGGATCACAGAACTAAATGTAAGAGCTAAAATTATAAAACTATTAGAAGAAAACAATATGAGTGAATTTTGTGACCTTGAATTAGGCAAAACCTTCTTAATGATGGCACCAAAGGCAGAAAGGAACAACAAAAACAAAAAGATCAATTGGACTTTTAAAAACCTTTGTGATTCAAACAATACCAATAAAGATACCAATATGGCCAGGAGTGGTGGCTCACGCCTGTAATCCCAGCACTTTAGGAGGCTGAGGCAGGCAGATCACCTGAGGTATTGAAAATACAAAAATTAGCTAGGCGTGGTAGTGCACACCTGTAATCCCAGCTACTCAGGTGGCTGAGGCACGAAAATTGCTTGAACCTGGGAGGTGGAGGTTGCAGTAAGCAGAGATCGTGCCACTGCACTCCAACCTGTGTGACAGAACGAGACTCTGTTTCAAAAAACCAAACCAAACCAACCAAACAAACAAAAACAACAGAGATACCACTTCACACCTACTAGGATGGCTATAAGCAAAAAGAGAGGTAGTAACAAGTGTTAGCAAGGATGTGAAGAAATTGAAGCCATCGTGCATTGCTGGTGGGAATGTAAAATGCAGCTGCTTTGGAAAATAGCCTGGCAACTCCTTAAAAGGTTTAAATATGACTGGCAATTCCACACTTTGTATATACTCAAGGGAAGTAAAAACACATGCCCACACCAAAATGTGTGCATAAATATTCATAGCAGCTTTATTCATAACAGCAAAAAAGTGAAAGCAACTCAAATGTCCATTAACTGATTAATGGATAAATGTGGAATATACATAAATTGAATATTATTTAGCTATAAAAAGGAATGAAGTACTGAAACAAGCTACAATATAGTTAAAACATTAAAACACAGACACAAAAAACCACATACTTCCTTGCATGACTCCATTTATATGAAATGTCCAGAGAAGCAAATCTATAGAAACTGAAAGTAGAGGCTGGGCTTGGTGGCTCACATCTGTAATCCCAGAACTTTGAGAGGCTGAGGTGGGCAGGTCACCTGAGGTCAGGAGTTCGAGACCAGCCTGGCCAACACAGTGAAACCCCATCTCTACTAAAAATACAAAAATTAGCCAGGTGTGGTGGCATGCACCTGTAATCCCAGCTACTTCGAAGGCTGAGACAGAATTATCACTTAAACCCAGGAGGCGGAGGTTGCAGTGAGCCGAGATCGTGCCACTGCATTCCAGCTTAGGTGACAGAGTGAGATTCTGTCCAAAAAAAAAAAAAGAAAGTGGATTATTGTTCTTCAGGGGCGAGGGTGGGGCAGGAGGGGAAATTGTTGGGAGAGGGGCATGCTAATGGTTACAGGTTTTATTTTTGGGGTGATGGTGGCATAACTGTGAATATACTAAGAACCATCAAACTGTACACTTTCGGTGAATCATTTAAAAAGAAAAAAAAATCCTCTATATGATGGTAAACACCAGTAAATTCGGCTGGGCACGGTGGCTCACATTTGTAATCCCAGCACTTTAGGAGGCTGAGTGGGAGAATTGCTTAAGCCCAGCAGTTCAAGACCAGCCTGTACAACATAGTGAGACCTCAGCTCCACCAAAAAAAATCAAGAAAATGAGTCGGGCATGGTGGTGCATGCCTGTAGTCCCAGTCACTTGGGAGGCTAAGGTAGGAGGATTACTTGAGTCCAGGTAGTTAAGGCTTCAGTGAGCTGATATCCTGTCAATGCACTCCAGCCTGGGTGACAGAGCAAGACTCTGTCTCAAAACATTTTTCTTTTTTAGACGAAATCTTGCTGTTTCACCCAGGCTGGAGTGTAACGGCGCAATCTTGGCTCACTGCAACCTCCACCTCCTGGGTTCAAGCCATTCTCCTGCCTCAGCATCCCAAGTAGCTGGGACTACAGGCATGCACCACCACGCCTGGCTAATTTTTGTCTTTTTAGTAGAGACAGGGTTTCACCATGTTGGCCAGGCTGATCAAAACATTTTTTTTAATCTGGTAAAGTTCTATGATATGTGAATTATACTCCAGAAAGCTGATATATATGAGAGTTGATAACATATCATACATATTATATACTATTATATCATATGATTATAATATATACTTATATAAAATTTTATATACTATGTAATTGCAAAGATTGCTTTGGATTGAATATGTAAACCTTAATGAAACTCAGCATCTTTTAGGGCATCTCAATATAATGAATTCATGGTAATTTGTAACTTAGAGCATGTTTACTAAAAATAACTGACAAGGATTATAGAAGTTGTTACTTATGAAATGGAAGGGCTAGAATTAAGCTCTCCATTTTACAAGAAGGTAAAGGCAGGTATTTCCTGATTCTTCACTCCTTTAGAGGGCAGCTTGCATCAAAGAGGATCCCAGTCTCTTCTAATGGGGTTTGATGCTTCCTGTGTGCCAACTAGGGTTACCCTCATCTTACCTTTTTCCCTGACGGCAGAAGACAGAGAAGCAACTTTTCTGTACGTGCTTTTGTCTTCCAGACTTCCCCCTTCCTATGGCCTCTGAAAGAGGTCAGCTAGGAGAAACAAAAGTGAGTACTGCTTCCTTGGTTCCCAAGAACAGGAATGGGGAGAGAGCCAGTTTCCCCAAAAGCCCCAGCTCTTTCTTCCGGGAGGTGGGCAGTGGAAGGGGCATGCATGGGAATAACAGAACAATAAAAGCTGAGTCACCAAGTATGTGTAGCACATTTTATATGTTCCTGAGCCCTCTTCTCAAGGGTTCTCCCCATCAGTTTACATAACTCACCTGTGGGGTAGAAAGCAAGTATTTTGCACCAATAAATGGATGAGGATGTCGTGGCACAAATTCAGGTAGGTCCTATGCTGCAGTGGACACTCCTTCCACTGTGACATGCCAGGCATACCCCCTGCCTCCCTCATACCAAGGCCCTATGTGGTATTTTCTCCATCTCCTTCCTTCGGTGCCTTCAACCTGCTGTGACAAGTTTGAGCCCCTGCCATCTGAGACACCACATATGGTAATGTTCATCAGATTTTTTTTTTTTTTTTTCCTGAGACGGAGTCTCACTCTGTCGCCCAGGCTGGAGTGCAGTGGCACGATCTCAGCTCACTGCAACCTCCGCTTCTCAGGTTCAAGCGATTCTTCTGCCTCAGCCTCCCGAGTAGCTTGGACTACAGGTGCCCGCCACCATGCCCGGCTAATTTTTGTATTTTTAGTAGAGATGGGATTTCACCATGTTGGCCAGGCTGGTCTCAAACTCCTGACCTCGTGGTCTGCCCACCTTGGCCTCCCAAAGTGCTGGGATTACAGGCATGAGCCACCATGCCTGGCCATTCATTAGAAATTTTAACCTGGAAAGACATTTCCCTAATTTTGTCCTCTGTAACCTAACAAACATATTTTGTGGTTGGTACAAAAATATGATTGTTATGTTACAGAGGGCAGGTATTTTTATCTTTTTTTTTTTTTTTTTTTGAGACGGAGTCTTGCTCTGTCACCCAGGCTGGAGTGCAGTGGCCGGATCTCAGCTCACTGCAAGCTCCGCTTCCCGGGTTTACGCCATTCTCCTGCCTCAGCCTCCCAAGTAGCTGGGACTACAGGCGCCCACCACCGCACCCGGCTAGTTTTTTTTGCATTTTTTAGTAGAGACGGGGTTTCACCGTGTTAGCTAGGATGGTCTCGATCTCCTGACCTCGTGATCCGCCCGTCTCGGCCTCCCAAAGTGCTGGGATTACAGGCTTGAGCCACCGTGCCCGGCTGGTATTTTTTTCTTAATAAAGAATTTATGGGAGACTGGAGAGTACACAGATTTTATATTATTTTACAGTTATATACATATTGTGGGTGGTAACTGTTGGGGTCAAACACTGAGGCTTCTGAATTCTGTTCTCTGAACTCCTGGTCTGGTGCTCATATTCCATCCACCTCCCAAGCTACACATCGTAATGGCCAAAGGACCTGGATGAAAGTGTCTGAAGCAGTTGTGTGTGTCTCACCTTCAGGTTGAATGCCTCAAGAATATAAATAACTGCTGGTTTTTGTCCTACATCGAGCCCAGTGAACCTATTTGTGGCAGTGACAAGGTTACCTACAGTAGTGAGTGCCATCTCTGCTCCAAAATTCTGTAAGTCCTAATTTTGTTCTCCCTTTCTTTCAAATCAAGAGGCTAAGGGTGGTCAAAAGAGGGTGATGACCTCAGCCCACTTCCTACATCATCCAATGAGATCTTCTCTCCAGACATGCCTCCAGTATTTGTTCCTCCCTTTCTTCCATCCCTCTCTGTGACCTCAAAAGGTACATGTGATCCTATTCAGACAATGCAGAAACAGAAATCCACAAGGTGAGGGCACTGTGTGTGACCTGTTCAAGCCTCAAGTGGAGGCACTCAGAAACAAGCAGCCACAGCATTTAGATCATGTGACCTTACATGAAGGTCATCCTCATGCCCCCTCAGGCCAAAGAACAGAAACAAAGAACAAAAAGAAGAGAAAGAGGAAGCTGGGTGAAGAATCTTCCCAGCCAAGAGTTTATTGGTCCTAAAATGGATATTATTTTCCAAAACAACTTTCTTTAGCTTTCAACTTAGTATGTGGTTTTGTCTCTGCACCTATCACATGTTAGAAGCTTTGAGTAACACGCAAGTGAAATGCCCAATTGTTGAGCCCAAGGGGAATAGCAAGGAGGAGGGGTTTGCATTAAGGAAACTCCCTATAGAGATAGGAGGAGGATTCTCTGACATCTGCTTTTTCCTTTAAGGAGAAAAGCTACACCCTTGTCTAACTAAGGCTTACAGGTTGAGTGCAGTATCTTAAGAGAGAAAAGTAAAAACACAAGAGTAGATCAGAGTTAGTTCTCTCTCTCCGTCCTCTTCTTAGCTTCTCCTCCAGAGAAGGAATAAGAATCTTCTTGATCAGGATGAGAGATATTTGGCTGGGCAGGATCGGACTTTCTTGTATTCTTGGCTGAATAAACACTAAAGCTTACACTAGAACCCATAAAAGAGTTGTAAGGTAAACAACTTTGGTGTCAGCCTCAATCACTGGCACAGACACCAACACCTGACCATCAGAAAGCATCAGCTGGGGAATGTGCAGCATCACAGGGTCAAACGATGCTGGAACCAGGAGACATCTGAGAGATGGCCTCCAAAGAGCTCCCTTTCAGTGTATCTTAGAAATTATTCTGGCTGGGTGTGGTGGCTCATGCCTGTAATCCCAGCACTTTGGGAGGCCGAGGTGGGAGGATCACCTGAGGTAAGGAGTTCGAGACCAGCCTGGCCAACATGACGAAACCCCGTCTCTACTAAAACTACAAAAATTAGCCAAGTGTGGTGGTGCATGCCTGTAATCCCAGCTACTCAGGAGGATGAGGCAGAAGAATCCCTTGAACCCAGGAGGCGGAGGTTGCAGTGAGCTGAGATTGCACCACTGCACTCCAGCCTGGGAGATAAAGCAAGTCTCTGTCTAAAAAAAAAAAAAAAGACATTATTCTCTTAGCAGTTGCACTGGAGATTACAAGTTAAATTTTAATTTATACCAATCTAATTTGGATCAATACCAACTTAATTACAAAAATCTTTAAAAATATTTTTGCCTAGAGGGGTGGCTCAAGCCTGTAATCCCAACACTTTGGGAAGCCAAGGCAAAAGAATTGCTTGAGCCTAGGGATTTGAGACATGAGCAACATAACAAGATCCTGTCTCTACAAAAAAATTAAAAACTTAGCCAGACATGGTGGCACATGCCTATAGTCCTAGCTACTTGGAAGTCTGAGGCAGGATGATTGCTTGAGCCCAGGAGTTCAAGGCTGCAGTGAGCCATGCTCATGCCACTGCACTCTAGCCTGGGCAACGGAGCAAAATTCTTTCGAGACAGGCAGATCACGAGGTCAGGAGATTGAGACCATCCTGGCTAACATGGTGAAACCCCCTCTCTACTAAAAATACAAAAAATTAGGCGGGCATGGTGGTGGGCGCCTGTAGTCCCAGCTACTCAGGAGGCTGAGGCAGGAGAATGGCGTGAACCCGGGAGGTGGAGCTTGCAGTGAGCCGCGATCACATCACTGCACTCCAGCCTGGGTGACAGAGCAAGACTCTGTCTCAAATAAATAAATAAATAAATGCTTTTTTTTCTTTTTTCTTTTTTTTTTTTTTTTGAGACTTAGTTTCACTCTTGTTGCCCATGTTGGAGTGCAATGCCATGGTCTCAACTCACTGCAACCTCTGCCTCCTGGGTTCAAGTGATTCTCCTGCCTCAGCTTCTCAAGTAGGTGGGATTACAGGCGCACAGCAACAAGCCCAGCTAATTTTTGTGTTTTGTAGAGATGGAGTTTCACCATGTTGGCCAGGCTGGTCTCAAACTCCTGACTTCAGGTGATCTGCCCACCTTGGCCTCCCAAAGAGCTGGGATTACAGGTGTTCCAACACCAGTCTTCTCCCTCCAGGTGCTACCAGGCTGCTGGTTTTCACCATGATTGTGGGTGGTTGTTTTTCATTACTACCATGGAACTGGGGATGCTGCAAATGGGTTCAGAGCAAGATAAAATGCCACGAAGCTCACTATTCTTACTGAGATGCAGCAATTTTTCTTGAATAGATGTTCCTTGGATTGCTGCATGGTTTGATTTTTTTTTTTAATTCCCAGAATTCTTGAAAACTTGATTCTGACCTTTTTTGTCAGTGTTCTTGTTGCTTTTGTGGAGGAGAAAATTTTTAAAGGTTCTTCTCCATTTTCACTGTCCATGCCAAAGGGCTCACTTTTGAATGAAGACACTGAGACCTGAGGGGAGCAACTTATCAAAGTTCTTATAACTATAAATGGGTGCAAATGCATATTTTTAAAGATTGAGGTAAAATTCATATGACATAAAATGAACCATTTTAAAGTGAACAAATTGGTAGCATTTAGTACATTTACAATGTTATAAAACTGCCACTTTTATTACTTTCAAAACATTTTTGTCACTCTAGAATAAAACCTCATGTCCATTAAGCAATTAACTTCGCATTCCCTCCTCCCCACAGTCCCTGGCAACTAGCAATAGACTTTCTGTTTTTACGGATTTACTATTCTGTGTATTTCACATAACTGGAATTATACAACATATGATCTTTGTGTCTGGCTTCTTTCACTTACATAATCATTTTGAGGTTCATCCACATTGTGACATATATCTTCATTTGTTTTTGTATTACTGAATAGTTTTCCATTATGTGTATATACCACAATTTTTTTTTTATTTATTCATTGATGGAAATTTGGGTTGTTTCCACATTTAACTATTGTGAATAGTGCTGTTACAGACATTTGTGTACAAGTATTTATTTGAGCACCTGTTTTCAGGCTTCTGGTTATACACCTAGGGGTGGAATTTGCTGAGTCATATGGTAATTGTGTGTTTAACTTTTTGAGGAACCATCAAACTTTTCCATAGGGGCTAACCATTTTACATTCTTCCAGAAATATGAGAGTTCCAATTTCTTCACATCCTTGCTACTACTTTTTAAAAATATTATTATGTCCATCCTTGTGGGTATGAAATGGTATCTCATCAGGTTTTCATTTACATTTCTCTAATGACTAATGAGGTTGGACATCTTTTCATGTACTTTTTGGCTATCCATATATCTTTTTTGAAGAAACATCTACTCAAGTCCTTTGCCTATTTTAAAAAATTGTGTTGTCTTTTTATTTTTCAGTTGTAAGAATTCTTTATATATTCTGAATACTAAATACTATGATTTTCAAATATTCCCCCCCATTCTATAGGTTGCCTTTTACTTTCATGATAATGTTCTTTGATGCACAAAGTTTTTAATTTTTATGAAGTCAATTTGTCTATTTTTTCTTTTGTTGCTCCTTCATTTGATATTACACCCAAGAAACCACTGTAAAATACAAAGGCATAAAGATTTTCTTATAATTTTTCTTCTAAGAGTTTAGTAGTTTTAGCCCATTGATCCATTTTTGAATTAAATTTTATAAATGGTGTGACATAGAGGTCTAACTTTTTTTTTTTTTTCTTTTTGAGACAGGGTCTCGCTCTGTCACCCAGGCTGGAGTGCAAGTGGCACAATCTCAGCTCACTGCAACCTCCGCCTCCTGGGTTCAAGCAATTCTCCTGCCTCAGCATCCCCAGTGGCTGGGATTACAGGTGCCCACCACCAACCCTGGGTAATTTTTGTATTTTTAATAGAGATGGGGTTTCACCATGTTGGTCAGGCTGGTCTCAAATTCCTGACGTCAGGTGACCTGCCCGACTTGGCCTCCCAAAGTGCTGGGATTACAGGCGTGAGCCACCATGCCCGTCCTGTGTAATGTTATTATTTTGCATGTGGTTATCCAGTTGTCCCAGCTTTATTTGTTGAAGAAACTATCCTTTCCCCCCATTGAATGGCCTTGGCACCCTTGTTGAAAATCAACTGGCCATAGATATATGAGTTTATTTTTGGATCCTTGATTCTTTTCTTTTGTTCTGTGTTTATAGCCTAATACCAGTACCAGTACCAGTACCACTGATTATTGTATATTTATTTATTTATTTATTTATTTTTGGAGACAGGGTCTTACTGTGTCTCCCAAGTTGGAGAGCAGTGGTATGATCATAGCTCACTGCAGTCTTGAACTCCTGGGCCCACACAATCCTCCTGCCTCAGCCTCCCAAGTAGCTGAGACTGCAAGATTATTGTAGTGTTGTAGTAAGTTTTTCAAACTGGACATTTGTAGTTTTCCAATTTTGTTTCTTTTTCAAGATGATTTTGGCTACTCAGGGCCCTTTGCAATTCTGTATGAATTTCAAGATTGACTTTTCTATTTCCACAAAATATAAACGCCACTGGAATTTTGATAGGGATTGCATTAAATCTGTAGATTGCTTTGGGAAGTATTGTCATCTTAAATTAATTCTTCCAATCAGTGAGAATGGGACATCATTCATTTATTTAGGCCTTCTTTATTTATTTTCAGCAGTTTCCGTTTTGTGGTTTTCAGTGTACAAGTCTTTCACCTCCAGGATTATTACTAAGTATTTTCTTTTTGGATGCTGTTGTAAACTGAATTGTTTTCTTAATTTTATTTTCAAATTGTTCATTGCTGATTTATAGTTATAGAAATACAACTGATTTTTGTGTGTTAATCTTGTGCTCTGTAACTTGCTGAATTTGTTAGCTTTAGTCATTTTTTATATTAGTTCTTTGGGATTTTCTACATATAGAATCATATCATCTTTGAATAGAGATCATTTTACTCCTTCCTTTCCAATTTGGATGCCTTTTATTTCTTTTTCTTGCCTAATTGCTCTGCCTAGAATTTCCAGTCCAATGTTGAATCTCAGTGGTGAAAGCAGGTATTCATGTCTTGTTCCTGATCTTAGACAGGTCTTTCAGTCTTTCACCATTGAGTATGATGTTCGCTATGGGTTTTTCATAAGTGTTCTTTATCATGTTGAAGAAGTTCTCTTCTATTCCTAGTTTTCTGGGTGTTTTATTATGAAATGATGTTGGATTTTGTTGAATATTATGTGTGTATATTCTGAATCAATTGATATTATCATGGGATATTTTTCTGTCATTCTATTAATGTGATATTATTAAATTGGCTGATTTTTTTTTTTTTTTTGAACCGCTCTAAATTCTTGGGACAAAGCCCATTCTGTCATGGTATATAATCCTTTTGATATGTGGTTGGATTCAATTTGTTGGTATTTTTCTGAGAATCTTTGCATCTATATTCATAAAGGATATTGGTCTATAGTTTTCTTTTATGTGATGTCTTTGCCTGTCTTTGATAACATGGTAATGCTGGCCTCTATGAGGAGGTAATGCTCCCAGTGTTCCCTCCTCTTTTATTATTTGGAAGAGTTTAAGAAAGATTGGTATTAAATCTTTTAAAAATATTTGGTAGGCCAGGCGCAGTGGCTCATGCCTGTAATCCCTGCATTCTGGGAGGCTGAAGCGGGTGGATCACCTGAGGTCAGGAGTTCCAGACCAGCCTGGCCAACATGATGAAACCCAGTCTCTACTAAAAACACAAAAAATTAGCTGCGCCTGGTAGCACATGCCTGTAATCCCAGCTACTTGGGAGGCTGAGGCAGGAGAATAGCTTGAACCCAGGAGGCGGAGGTTGCAGTGAGCCGAGATCACGCCACTGCACTCCATCCTGGGCAACAAGAGCAAAATTACTTCTCAAAAAAAACAAAAACAAAAAAAAACAAAAAACAAAAACCGGTAGAATTCAGTAGTAAAGCCATCTGGTCTTTGTCGGGACATTTATTACTGATTCAGTATCTTTACTTGTCATAGGTTGGTTGAGATTTTTTTATTTCTTATTGAGTAAGTTTTGATAATTTGTGTGTTTCTAGGAATTTGTTCATTTCATTCAGAATATCTAATCTGTTGACATACAATTGTTCATAGTATTCTCTTATAATCCTTTGTGTTTCTGTAAGGTCGGTGGCGAAGTTTCAGCTTTCATCAAATGCATGTTTTAACTTTAAGACATATTCTTTTTCTAATCCTCTGTATTTCTATTTGAATTTTCAAAGGCTATTTTGAACTTCTGTATTTTATTGTACGCTGAGTATGTTTTACATATTCAATCTCTTTGACAAATAATAATTCATATAGTAGAATTTTTTAATATTTGTTAAGAATTCATTATTAGCAGAATGTTTATTTCCCAAACTTAGCCAAAGATTATCAAGTAAAATGTAGTCACAATTTATGATATACCATACAGCAAAAGTAATTTCAAAATATAATTTCTTTCAGATTTGAAGGGCTTAACATAACTAAACTGTATGATGGACAATGTGTAAGTAAAGACACTTTTATTTTTTATTTTCAGAAGTAAACTAAATAAGAGCTCACTGTTTTAGAGGGTTTTAAATGTTTTGTTATGAAAAGTTTCAAACATACATAAGAGACAATAATAGATCCCATAAGACTATCATGTGTATTCAATAAATTATAATGTTTTGCCACATTTCCTCCCTCTATTCTTTTATTTCTCTTTTTTCTTTGATGAAGTATATTAACACAGGTCTCAGACATCATGTCATTCACTCCTACATACTTCAGAGTTCCTCTCTAATAAGTTTGGGCATTTCCTTACATACTCAAAATGTCGTATTACAACTAATTATTTCATTGTCATCTTCTAATACATACTTCATATTTGAATCTCCCCACCCAAAAATAATACCTTCTGGAGGAAGAAATGTAATTTAGCCTGATAATTCAGCTGTAAGGAACATCTATTTCACCCTTGCTCTTCCCTCTCATGTCCAATATCTAGGATATTAATGAAAGACACTAATTGAAATGTGAACAGTTATTCTGAGAGTGAATGGGCCAGGACTTGCCTGAGCTCCAGGTCTAGAGATTCTGTCCCTGACTTCAGGGTTATATTCCAAAGCAAGAACTTAGCCGAAGCCATAGAGATCATTATTGCATTATGAGGCATGACAACAAGACTGGGAGAAATCAATGTAGAAGAGAAAATAAAGAGGGTGGGAGGTAAAGCAGGTAAAACAGGACAATTATATAATTTAGTAATAATTTTACAACAAGGTCTTCTGACACCATCTCCATGACAAACTCACAGGGCTCATCTGATTTACAGATGAGCACACATACTACTCACTTAGTGATGGTCCATTACCTGAATGTTCTCCAGTTCCACTAAAGAGAAATCACAAGAACTTTTAGACACTTTCATGATCTGGGGTAACTATGAAAAGATCTCACATGATTTCTACTTCTGTCAGATTCTTGCTGAGCTGGGCTCACTCATTTAAAATCCTGCTAAATCCCTCCTTTTATACCCAGACCATACCTCAGTCTATGACTCTTGTCAAATAACTCTCTGGTCTTATATCCATTTTAAACTTTTAATATCAAAGAGGTGGTTTTAAACTTAAGGATATCTACAGAATGGTGTTCGAAGTGTTCTAAGAATCACTTATGCGCCAAAATAAAGACTAGTATTTAATAGGGGAGAAGAGTTTTAGTGACATGTAGAAAGAGCGATTGGTGGCCGGGCACGGTGGCTCAAGCCTGTATTCCCAGCACTTTGGGAGGCCGAGACGGGCGGATCACAAGGTCAGGAGATCGAGACCATCCTGGCTAACACGGTGAAACCCCGTCTCTACTAAAAAATACAAAAAACTAGCCGGGCGAGGTGGCGGGCGCCTGTAGTCCCAGCTACTCGGGAGGCTGAGGCAGGAGAATGGCATAAACCCGGGAGGTGGAGCTTGCAGTGAGCTGAGATCCAGCCACTGCACTCCAGCCTGGGCAACAGAGTGAGACTCCGTTTCAAAAAAAAAGAGCGATTGGTAAGGAAGATATCAAGATATCACATCAGTATAAAATGATAGAATTTTCCCTAAATCAGAATGATCTAGAAAAGAATTGTGTGGCATCCAAATACAGTGAGCCTCCTTTCATCGCATTTGGACTAGAAAATCCTAAATCTTCTAGGGGAGATCCCTATATCATGTTGGGACCTCAACCGTCTATTTAAGACAAAGATGCATTTTATTCATTTATTTCAAATGCAAACATTAATTGTGCCATGGATGAAAAGTTAACTATAGGAGACCACCTGAAAATTTTACTGCAGAGCACAATTCTCTCTCTCTACCAAGGCTCTGATGAAATTGTTGATATAATTAATATTGCTTTTACAAAGTAATTCAGAAAGCTCGGATGCCAAGGATTTGCAGAGATTAAGAATGCAGACTGAAGTCAGAACTCATTGCACAAACTAAGTGATCTAGAGCTAGTACCACTGACAGCTTTAGTTATTCTTATGTATAGGTAGTGAACCCAGTTACCCCAAGTACAGAATGTGATGTCTGGGGAAGAGCATTGAAGAAAAAGTCACAAGTTTTTCAGTTAATACCTCTATGACTCAGCTAGAACTCTCTGGGTTATCATGAAACTCAAATGAGATGTACACTTGAATGAACTCAAATGAGATGTAGGCTTAATAAAGATATGTACTCATATATATGAATATATAATTGCATTAAGAGCCAACCATAATGATGAACTACAATGAGCTATTGGCACCTTCCCCTAAATCAGTCCTTAGAGAATCAATTGGAGTTTGAGGAAACTAATAATTCCAGAAGAGGTGGGGAGTAGGGGGATGGAGAGGGAGAGAAAGAGTAGGAAGAGAAAGCAGAAAAGAAGATATGAAAATGGAGGAAGGAGAGGGAGGAAGAGGAAGTGGAAAAAAGAAGGAAGGGAGGAAAAGAAGGAAGGAAGGAAGGAAAATGAAGGAAGGAAGGAAGGAAGGAAGGAAAATGGAAGGAAGGAAGGAAGGACGGAAGGAAGGAAGGGGAAAGAGAAGGGAAAGGAAAGGAAAAAGAGGGGAAGGGGAAGGGGAAACCTGAGACACTCTTTGGGAGATGCAAAGCTGTCTTGAACTGACCCATGCTTGGTGGAGGAGGATGGCCCCCTTGAGGGAGGGTGACCAGAGGTATCAATACAAAGGAGGCCTGGAGGATAGGGTGCTGCCTATCCAGCACCTGCAGGATTGGGTGCTACCCTTGCCTTGGTTCATGCAGCCTGTTGCGGCAGCCCGCTACAGGAGTCAGTTGTTTTTTGTTTTTTGGGTTTTTTTTCTTTTTTGACGATGGAGCTGCTCCATCGGCCCAAGCGGCTGGGGTGGGCAGTGGGCGGATCTCGGCTCAACTGCAAGCTCCGCCTCCCGGGTTCCACGCCATTCTCCTGTTCTCAGGGCCTCCCGAGTAGCGGCCTGGGACTCCACAGGCGGGCCCGAGAGTGTTAATTATTGAGCCCTTCACTATAGAAAATGGCAGGCAAACAACCCTGAGAGCAGAGGGGCCATTTTCTGAAGGGAATTAATGGTCATGGCAGTGTCAAAGCCTCGCTGGGGCATAAGAAACTGATTGAAAAGGAGGTGGGACTGGCCAGTTTACACCGTTGGCATTTCACCCCTGCTCCTTTCTTCTCCTCCCAACCCACCAACAGGCTGGTAGGTTACATACAGGATGAGACTGCCTTCTAAATGATACGGATGAATATGGAAAGCAAAGAGATATTGAAGAATCAAGCTTACTTGTGCCAAACAATCGTATGTAAGGAGCCCAGAAGATTAATGACAACATTAAAGGAAAACAGAATAACTATTCCTGAAAATACATCAAGTAACTTATTGCGCAGAATATAAAACCTATGGAAGGACGCCGTCCAGGTCTTGAAAAAGGGCTCAGTAGAGTGGCCAAAGAGGAAAGCTGCCTTCCACTGGATCCGGCATTATAATCCAAAATCTATAAAATATCCAAACGATGAAGAGAAAATTATAAAAAACTTGCTAAGAGAAGAGACGATTCCCTTAAGAGACAAAAAACATCAAGGCTGGCACTCCAGAGTTTCACCCAACATTGGATGCAACGCAGCACTAACGAAGGCCGGGGCATAGGTGACCTCACTCGCTGTAAATCCCAGCACTTTGGGGCTGAACGGGGGCGCAACCGATCGGCCCTGCAGGCTCAGGACATTTCAACGATCATCCTAACAGCAACACAGTGAAACCCCAGTCTCTACTAAAATACAAAAATTAGCCAAGGCGTCGGTGGCCAGGCCTTGTCATCCAGTTACTCGGGAAGTGCCTGAGGCAGGAGGCGATCGACTTGAACCCAGGAGCCAGAATTTGCAGTCGGCTGAGATCAATCGCCACTCGCTGGGCTCCAGCGCTTCTCGGCAAGCAGAAGCAAGGCTCCATCATAAACAAAAAAAAAAACACTCAAGAAACAGGCCAGGTGTTGCAGTGGCTGCTTGCCTGTAATCCCAGCGCACTTTGGGAGCGCGCGCCGAGGTGGCAGAATCATGAGGTTCCCAGCGCCCAGTTCCGAGCACAGCTGAGCCAAATAATGGCTGAACGACCCGCGTCTCTACTAAAACAAACAATACCAACAAAATTAACCCAGGTGTGGTGGCAGCACTCTGTTCGCCAGCTAGCAGGGGAGCTGAGGCAAGAGAAATCGCTTGAACTCGGCAGGCCCACGAGCGCAGTGCCTGAGATCTTGCCACTGCGCACTACCAGCCCTGAGGCGACAGAGCAAGGCGCTCCACTCCTCAAAAACAAAAAACAAACAAAAAGACAAGACCAAGGTATGTGTGTACATGTATTGTGTCATAGTATCCTTGCTTAACGGGAAATACTATATCTTATCTGTTTTGTGCTGCTATACACAGATACAACGCTCAAACTGGGTAAAGCTTTATCAACAATACGCAAACTTATTGCTTGTGTGCTGGAGCGCTGGGAGTCCACTAATCAGATGCCAGGCCTCCACTTGTGAGGCTTCCTCGCTGTGTTTCCCATTGCAAAGGGGCAAGGGCGTCAGAAACGCATAGTACTCGTGCACACAATGCACATGCTGTCGTGTGAGAAGAGAGTAGAAAGGCGCGGATCGCAAACTGCATCAGTTTTCTCAGACAAAAGCCTGGCTCCCACATAACGTAAGCCCATTTCTGTGATAATGGCATCAATCCATTCATGAGGGCAGAGCCGCTCCCAAGCACATAATACAGTAATTAAAGTTCCAGCTCTCAACACTGTTTTTTGGGGCGATTATTTTTCCAACACATCGAACTTTGGGGGCCCATTCAAACATAGCGCACTAGATATCACAGAAAATGTTTAGTATCCAGCCCAAGTGTCCGCTTCTT